CCTCACAAATTGCGCACCCCAATCTTCCATCGCAATCCTGCGATAGGCGGCGGGTGCGGCGTGTGCGACGCCGTGTTAGGGTAGAAGTTCTCGGACCCCTCTCAGTGCTGTGTTTAGTGCTTACCATCACCTCCTCGCTAGGTAGTATGAAACATTGAATAATTTTACAAAAAAAAAACAAGCGCGAGTCCCGATTCCAGCCGGACCATAATACACGGAGAATGGCTTATGTTTTCATTACAACCATTCAGACTCGACACGATATACGAATTTTCCACAACCTAGTGCTTGAGGAAAGTGACGGTCCCATTCCCTTGATATTGACTTTGACAGAGGTCACCATGAGCTTTCTCCTAACGGTTCCCTTACACGCCAGAGAGTACCGCCGATCCTCATCGACTCTGGCAACATGCACCACTGCCAGCCTTTGGAATGCCACTATAAAGTGGAGGCAGATAGAATTCGATGAGCAGTCACATCACATCGGGCGTTCACAACAGCCGCACTCCTCGTCAAGGGCCGTGCTATCGCCTACGGGCTGCTTATGTACTCATAGAGGCACGGGGTGGACACGAGAAAGAACATCATGAGAGGAGTTCATACCACACACACGTATTCGACTCGAAGCTCGTAGATAATTTCGCTTATTTTGCAATTCGTCAGGACCGGAAGCGTAAAAAGATGGAGTGTAAGTGTTGGGTTGTCCGGAAAGTCTCTGCCAGTTTTTGAGTCATCTATGAAAGAAAAATTCCTAGAAGGTCAAATCCATTCATTAAACAACATATCGTCACTTTTGTGCAGTAATGGTTCGCCACATTTCTATCAGTCTAACTATCCCACTCTCATGCAAGATTCTAGACATAGAATCGAAAAACCCTATCAGGTGCTTCTTGCAGTCCTCTAGTAAATCGATCGATTTTCCATGCAAAAGGTTTTGCAGAAACCTAAAGAAGTGGTAGTCTGATGGTGCCATGCCTAACCTATATTGTCCGAGTGGTAATACATCTCGCCCAAACCCCCGGCAATTTGTGACGGGTAGCCAAAAATACGTGTGGTGTGGAGGTATCCTGTTTGATGACGGCGGACTCACTATTGACCACTTCTGGTCTATCGCCGCCTATAAATTGTTTAGCTGATACAGCACCTTTCCAAAGTTATCGTTCGGCTATGCGGCAGCAGCTCATAATGAATGATTCCCCTTCATCCACCAGCAACGCAGCATAATCTTTCTCACCTGGATCTTGACTTTTGGAGTAGTTTGTGATGGCTCGTTGGGGAGGCTCCACGATCGTTCAAGCTCCTCGTCCCACTTTTTGTCCCCCGTTGTCTAACGTCTCAGTACCCTCATCTTTGCTTTGTTTTAGCAACGAGTTGCACATGGAGGTGCAGTCGATATCATTGCGACCGCTCGGTTCGTGAAGTACCCAAACATCAAGGCGCTTAACAAAATCAAGTTCCAGCAAATTATCATGGATGGTTGATTTCGAAACGTTCAGTCTTCCTCCTATTCCACGCGTAGTGATTTGCCTATTCGTTGCGATTAATAGTTTGATCTGGTCCTTTTCAACTGGTGATAGCCTTCTTGCGCGCTGCCGACTTTCGAGGGCGAATTCACCCTGTTTGAATCTCGCAAATTCTATTCGAACTTACCAAACCTTTCTCGCGGCTTGAGCTCGCGCTAGAAGAGAAGCACCAGGCGCTGTCCAGCGCAAATGCTCGTCATAATCCTCAAATTTCACACGAATCCTGCAGACATATCATACAGACAGACTTTGAGGAATGTTAACAGAACTCGAACCGGAATATAGAGGAAGGATTGCCCTTTCAGAAAATATAGTTTCATGAGTTTAGATTCCTGATCTTTTGTACAGCAGTCGATAAACCCGGGGTGTTGAAAATCGGCGGAGACTTTCCGGACAACAGAATTTTTATATCCTAGTGAGATCTTCTTCAGAATGTAATGAAACGAAACTGAACAAGAGCTTTGCCCGGATGTTCTTTGCTCTGATCTTCCAATGCACAACGCAGATTCCGCTATTAGGGTAATCAGTGTTTATCGCCCTCCAAATACAACAACAGCAGATGACGCTGCGTTGTTAAACTTAATCACAGATTTGAGTCCATTGCAAAATGCTGGGTAATTTCAGTCGATGATCGAATGAGGTGCTGGCAAACCCTTGAATCACGCTACTAGTGAGTTCCTCCAACTAATTGATGGTTGCACCTTTATACAGCATGTGAAAGAACCAAGCCACAGTCCCAGTATGTCCGATATCGTCCTATCCTCTGTACCGATAATCTTTGGTGTAAAAGTGTAACCCCCTCTCGCCACACCCAATCACGGAGCACTTCGAACTTCTTGTTTCTAATGGCAACCTTGGCCGAGGGCAGGCTCCTCTCCCGCCAAACTTCACCAATGTGATCATCTTACTTTGAATACCCATGTTAATATCATTGACTAGTTTTAGGTTTTGAATAATTTCAATAGCGCAAACGACGTCTGCAATGTATGATGTATTTATAATTTATTTATTGAAGACTCTGCATAAGGCAAA